ATGATCATATCTATTCTTGAAGAAAGAAATTAAAGTCTTTGGTTAAAGGGTATCTTTCTTTGGCTTGATTTCTTTATCACCTCTTTATGAGTTTGGGTAGTGATGCACACTCCAACACATTTTAAAACGTATGAAAAGAGAAATGAAGTGTCTCTTAAGATTAAACTCGTGGACTCGATTGAAGTAGCCCCTTATTGGCTATTTTGGGAACAATTCCAAGTCAGGATGTGTCCTCTCGTGCAAATGTTTGGCTCACAGTTGGCTTGTGAATCTTTCTTGATGTGCCAGTGTAGCGTCCAAATGTGCGACTTTTATATGCATGATATCTCTGTTTGCAACATACATAGGACACAAGGGGTTTGAACTTGACACCTAGCTTGTCAATCCAGTACCAACTTTCCGTTGGTCAAATTGCCTAGTTTGGAAGTCATGTTGTGCAGCTTCCTAATATTTATTAACTAAATACATCACCCTCTATTCGAGACCTCTAGCAACTTCTATCAATTATCATTGTTGATACTACATTACTGCTATCAATTCATCTAGCCCTACATCATGGTGAATTAGTGAATCCACCATGTTCTGTCATCTTTTGCAAAGCTCATTACTATTGGACCTTAATTGCTCGATAATGTCTTCGACATATTCGAGGTTACTCCACATCTTTTTGATGATAATTGTCTCAACGCAAAATACATAATTATCCAGTGCTTGCAAGATCTCTTTAGACTCTTAATATTTCACGGCATGTGCATGCACAATTTTTATGTTTGTAATGCTCATATTATCTTAAACTAAGGTGTTCAAGCAGAATGTGGTCTAATCACTAAGTGATGATATTCTCCTTTTCATTCTTTTTTTTTCTTTTCCTAAATTTCAAGACTTTGATTTGGATTAAATTACTACTTTTCCTTGGCCCTTGGAGTTGTTGAATCTGACTCTAAAACCTACTTTCCTAAAAATTCAAAACTTTCTTAAATTTATTTTACATTTAGCCAACTTTAGCTTTTTGGACAACATTGTGCTTGACTAACCTAGCTTTTCTTATGAAACTTACCTAGTTTTGATACCATCTTTCCCTTGGAAAGATGGGGCTTGTCTTACTTAACCTAGGTTTGATACCATTTGAGCCCCATCTAGCTCTGACACCACTTGTCATGAGTTTGAAAGTTTAATTAAGATTCATGCAGTGATTAGACTTGTGTATGAACGATTAAGTAAGTATATTTTTAAATATTTGTATAATAACATAAAAGTGAAACTCGAAGAAAGAGAATTTGAGAAAAAATAATTATATTATTCTCAATAGAAAAACAAATAACTTAGATACTAAGTAAATAACTTGAATGCTTAAATTGACTACTTGGACAGTTTCACTCTATTACCTTTTTAACTCCGTAAGAGTGTTATTTATAATATAGGTTTTTCCTAATCATAATTAAACTATTCTTTTAGTTGTCTAGTACAACTAGAGTAGTTAATAAGAGATTTGAATAAATTAGGGATTCTATTATTGAATAGAATATAACTAACTTAAAGTCCCAATGCAAGTAAAATAAATAAAAAAAAATTAGCTTTACTAAAACTACCTTATGTAAACAGTCTTACTTGAATTTGAACTCTTCATACGTCCGAATAGTATGTGTCCGAGTGGCTAGTGGCCCTCAAGGCGTGTGGCGCTCGCACACAAGCCTTTTTGGTGTGAAGCTTGTGCTTGCAAGGTCTACTATATGTGGGCCTCCTTGTTGATGTCCATTAATGTGCTATTATCTTGCACGTTGCCTTCTATTGCGGGGTAATAAGCTGTACGACTTGCTTTGGCTGTCCTCGTGTGATCATCTGATGAGCGCGTTAACGAAGTGTGCGGTTTTTTCTCTTGCATTTCACATTATGTTAAAATAAAATATAAATTATAAATAATATTTGATATAAGAAAAATAAGAGTACATTCTTGACAATGTGTCTAATTAAATTATATTACAGTATTTGTTTTATAATAGATTACTGTAATATAAGATTGCAATGCAATCATATTACAGTCAAGGAACATAATGTCTTGACTGTAATGTGATTGCAGTCTAAAATTAATACAATCACATTATATTACACTTTGTAATATTCTTAAAGATATTTGTATCCTTCAACTTTATTATTTTGTTAAAAATTTTTTGTAATGTTATAATTAAAATAAAAAATATCAAAATAAAATATATAATAAGAATCAAAAATTAAAATAAATATATAATATAAAATATATAAAGATTACAATAAGAAATGAAAATAAAATATATAACATTAAAATTATATTTAAGAGATAATATTATATAAAAATTAACAATAAAAAATACAAGTATATTAAACTAACATTTTAATAAATAAAAGTAATTTTAAAAATTAACATTACATTTTCAGCAAAATACTTATAAATCAAACCTTACAATGTTATCTTCTTTGCATTTTAATCATTATTTTACTTGTATACCAAATACTGTAATGTTATTTTTTTTTATAATTGGGGGAAGAGGATTCGAACTATACTCTTTAGACAGAGAATAATGCACCAACCAATAAGCTAAATGCTCGGGTGTCACTGTATTATTATTTTTCTTATAATCACATTATATTATAAAATATCAAACGTTATCATATAGTTGTGCAAATTACTATATTATATGTCGAGACTATAAAAAAGGTTTTGAATAATGGAAACAAAACTTAGTGGGAGCTAGATGGCCACTGGCATCAATGTTAACCTATGTCCATTGTAATTATGAGATTTTACCCGATCTCAACACTCTCCATTATTAAATTCTTCAACCAACAATGTGCTCCACAAAATCTTTTTCATTTTTCTTATATGTGTTTAATGTGTCGAAATTTTCTTTTTACTTTTTGAGACTAGAAAACCAATTTCCCTCTGTAAACTTTGTGGGGGTTAGGGAGTTTCTGTCTTCCTTGCTTTTTTCCTGCTTATGTTCACAGGTCACAACCCAGGTTTTCATACAATTACATCAACATTCAAGATATAACCCCCATAAAATCAGCTAGCCACTAAAAGATAACTCTATAAACCCAAATTTTCAATTATATATTTCTATCATGAGTACTTTCTCCTTTCATTTTTTTTTCTTTTTTTTTGATGGTGTAAATATATTGTCAGAAAAAGGATTTTAATTTCCATTAACAACAGGGAAACTCTCCACTTCTCCACACGTCTCTCTCTCTCTTTCTTTATTTCTCTTTTTCTCTCTCTTTTCCTCTATATATAAGCGTCACTAATCCCTCTCAAACCCCGCTAAGCTCTCTCTCTCGTTTCCTTTTCTTTCTCCCGCTCCCCACCTCCATCAACTTCTGTTTTTCTCCTCATAGAAAGAAGAAGAAAATACAATAAGAGACGAGGAAGAAGTAAAACAATGGTGAAGTTCTCAAAGGAGCTTGAAGCTCAACTAATACCAGAATGG